GCGTCACATTCAAGCTCAAAGAGCTTGTCAAAATCTAGAAACGCCAATATAGGTGCAGTAGTAATCTTCTCCTTGATAAGGGCAAAAGTTGCATTTGCTTCATCAGTCCACTCGAAAACACCCTTCTTCTTCAAGCAATCCGTCATGGAAGCAACTATAGATCTTAAATTGCGAATGAAACACCGATATAAAGAAGCTAACCCATGAAAGCTTCTTACTTCAGTAGCACTTTTTGGAGTCGGCCAATCCTTGATTGCCTTGACTTTATCATCGTCAACCTGGATCCCCTGCGAGCTTACCATAAACCCCAAGAACACTAGCTGGGTCATCAAGAACACACACTTCTTAAGATTGATGTAAAGTTCATTCTCCTTTAGCACTTGGAAGACTTCTCGGAGATGCAACATATGCTCCTGTTTATCTCGGCTATAGATGAGAATGTCATCAAAGTAGACGACTACAAATCTTCCTAAGAAAGGCTTCAGAATTTGGTTCATCAAACGCATAAAGGTGCTTGGAGCGTTCTACAACCCAAAAGGTATCACTAACCTTTTGTAGAGGCCCTTACTACTCTTGAATGTAGTCTTCCACTCGTCGTCGGGTCGGATTCAGATCTGATGATACCCACTCCTCAAGTCGACCTTCAAAAAGATGCTCGCGCCTCCCTACTGATCCAATATGTCGTCCAGCCACAGGATTAGGAACCTGTAGCGGATTGTAATCTTTTTAATGGCTCTACTATCAACACACATTCACCAACTCCCATCCTTCTTTGGTGTCAACAGGGTCAGAACTACGCATGGACTCATACTCTCTCAGATGTGGCCTTTCTTAATAAGGTCCTCAATGGTGTCCTGTAATATCTTCTTCTCCTACAGGTTCATGCGATAATGAGGGAGATTAGGAAGCACTGAACCAGGAATGAAATCATTGTGGTGCTGGATATCCCTCATGGGAGGAAGACCCGCTGGCAGCTCTTCGGGAATCAATACTTTGAACTCCTTAAGCAGCAATTTCATCTTCTTTGGGACCTCAATGGATGTCTTTATTTCTTTCTTCATAACTAAAGTAAACCTCTGCTTCAACTCTTTTGACTCGGCCAGAAACTCTCCCTTGTTACAAAGAGATATACGTTTGGACTTTTGATCTTTGGGGTGCTTTAGAGAAGGTGGAATAGGTGTAGGATAATCTTCTTATTCATCCACACAAAAGAGTACTTGTTTTTCTTACTACCATGCTTAGCGTTAACATCATACTACCACGGTTGTCCCAACAATACATGACCCGCGTCCATATCCACAACATCACAAGCAACAGAATCGCTATAAGTCTTGCCTAGTGATAGTGGCACGTGACATACTTCGGTCACTTTCATGGATGGACCCTTCTTGATCCATCCGATGGTATAAGGCATAGGCTTGGTCTAGATCAGCAATTTCAAGTGATCCACCAAGGCCTTTGACACTATATTCTCACAGCTTTCATTGTCAATGATGAGGATGCACACCTTGTTGTTGACTGAATACCTAAAAAAGAAGATTTGATGTCGTTGTGATGAATCTAGAGTCTTTTGGACGAACATGAGTCGTTGAACAACACACGACACGTTATCGCCCTCAATCTCGGCAACCTCTTCCTCATACTCTTCGACAGATGTTGTGTGTCCATCTTTTGCCTCTTCATAATCCGCTAGATTGACCTTCTGTCGCTACGGGCACTCGTTGGACTTATGCCCTGGTTGGAGACATCAAAAACACTTCCCTACAGTCGGCTTGGCATACTGATTTGATTGAGTCGTCTGGGTCAGTGGTTGATTTGTTGACTGCTCGGCTGATCGTGGAGGATTAGACCGATCTGTCATCCTTGGCCCTGTCGACTCACCTCTTGCCTTCTCGGCTGAACTTCCCTGATCGGTTCGCCTGAAAGGTGGTGTCTTGGAGGCCAATCTTTTTCTGCCTTGAGAGCCATGTTATAGGCTTCGTCCACAGAGTACACATTGTAGGTGGCCACCTTTTCTTGAATTGAATACTTCAAACCTCTGATATACTTTGCCGTGAGTTTCTCCTCGCTCATAGACAAATCACAATGAGAAGTAAGACGGAAGAACTCTTTGGTATAGGCTCTTACTGATCTAAGTCCTTGACGGTATTGCTCGAACTGGTTGTAGAGAATTTGTTGGTAGTCGGGTGGTAGGAACCTAGCTTGTAGTAATTACTTCATGTGTCACCAAACCCGAACTGGTTGCTTGCCTTGATGTCGTCTTGTGTTTTGAGTCTGATCCCACCATGTCGCAGCTCCTCCTTTAAGACGATATGCCACAAACTTCACCTGGTTTGCTTCGGGAATATTAGCCATCTCAAAAAACTTCTCCACTTCGTAGAGCCAATCCAGGAAAGCCTCTATGTACAGATTTCCACCAAAGGAAGAGAGCTCTACCTTCATCTGGTACTCTTGGTCGTGGTGATGTCTGCTCTATCGGTGATAGTTGCAACGAGGGTTGAAGCCTCTGCCCCGACCTCTCCCATAAGGTCGCCCACCTTCTTCTTCGCTCGAGATGTTATAATATCATGGTTCCTCAAATTGGGCACCATAATCCTCTCCTTCATCACTGGATTCATCATGGAAGGGGGGTTGGTTAGGATGTCATCGATGATGTGGAGGGGGTTGATATGGAGGGGGTTGGTTTAGACGTGGTTGATATGGAGAGGGATGAATTGGAGGGGGTTGGTGATTGTATGAGGGTGGATGTCATGGCTACCTAACTCTAGGTCCGCTTAGGTGAAGACTATCGGTGAAGTTATTCTCATTGTTGAGGTGAAGGGTAAGTCCTTCAATGGCTTATTGAAGATTCTGAAGAGACGCCTCCAACATGGCAAATATTCCATCCATAGAATCCATCCTCACGGAAAGATCATGTAGAGAAAGCTCCTTCTCGTTGTCACCTGCCATTGTTGAGAATGTTGAAGCCGAAGCTCTGATACCACTTGATGCAAATGTATAAAATGGGAGGCCGATCGGATATCATTCCGATGCCGACGAGCCCTGACAATAGCAGGAATTTCACGAGCTTGAATCCACAAGCTCTAAGTTTCTCAAGTTTGAGAACGAAAACAAGGAGAAAAATTCTCTTCATTGAATAATTGAAAAGTTAAAATCTAGATTTACAAAAGGAACTAATATTTATAGCCAACTAACCTTATCCTAACCCTAATAAAAAAGAAACTCTAATCGTAAAAGGAAATAACCAAAACAAAAACTTCTTTCCTATTCTGTTTACCGAGTCGACACGAGGCGTGCCGAGTACTACCGCCTTTCGTGTTGACTGGACATGAGTTGACTAAGTATGTCGAATAGTACTGTCATTCGTGTCGATTGGCATGTGTCGACTAACACCGCCCTTCGTGTCGACTGGGGTGTGTAGTTTCGTCCTGTCGACTGGGGCCTCGGTTGGGTTGCTTTGACTGGAGTGTTAATCTCGACTCGTCGCCTCTAGTCGTTTGTTCTTCTAGGCTGGTTTAAGTCACGTCTCGTCTCGTCCATCTGTTTAGTCATCTCGACTGTCGACTCGACTCGAGTTGAGATGTCGAGTCGTCATCCGCTGATGTCGTCTTGGTCGTGTAGTTCTTCTGTATCAACTTCTCCTTAATTCTTATAACTAGGGGTATCCATTCGGTCCTAAGGCTGAGGTCCAGCTTAGTGTCCGGCCCGAACCCAGCTAGGCCTGAACCCAGCCTAGGCCCGAGATAAGCATAGAAAACCCAGACCGATCGGGCTACTTGCTTGGGCCCGGGCTGCTCTTGGTGAAGCCTCGACCGGTGCTTAGCCGCCCGGTCCGCGTTATGTGCCTGCCCCAGTCCGGTTATATATATATATATATATATATATATTATGTGTGTGTGTGTGTGTGATGTAATTATATTATGATATGGCCATTAATGTGCACATATATATATTTCTAAGTGTGTATGGTTTTTTTTAGGAAAATGGCCATATCTTCGTAGTCGTAAGTGTATATAGTTGTATATATTTAAGTACGCACGTGTATACACACACATACATAAGATATAAGTATATAAATATATATAATGCAGTCATAAGTATACTTATATGTGTATATTATAGAATTGCAATTATATAAGTATATATAAGTACATAAGTATAATTATATAAGTATATTGCATCTATTCTAGTATACATAAAAGTATATCATATTAGTAAAGCGTATAATTGTACTTAAATAAACATAATGTAAGTATGTAACAAATACATATATAACTATATAATACGTATTTATGAATAAGTAATATATGCTTATGTGATTCTCTCTCTCTCTCTCTCTCAAGTTATAACTTATATATATATAATCTAATTTTAAGCAAATTTTTACCAAAAATCAAAAAATAAATAATAAATAAAAATAAAAAACCCCGGGTCAGCCCGGAGCTGCGCCCAGTTCAGCCCGGACCCCGACCCGGATTTCCAAGCCGGCCCGAATGGACATGCCTACTTATGACACTAATAATTGGATGACTTGGGCTCACACCCGAACATATCAAGAGTGTTAGAGCTTGCTCTTGACTAAAAGTCTTCCGATGGTCAAGTAAGTAATCTACAAATAAAAGACGATATAGTTTTAAACTAAATGATTACATGTAAAAATATAAGCTAATTTCTCGTTATCAAATGAGAAACTTAATAGAGAAATCTTGTTTAGACTGTAATGTCATGTAGTTACCGATTATATGTAAAAAAGCCTTGCCATGAAATCGTGGAGCTTGAACTTGAAGGGGGACTAGACTTTGGATTAAAAGGTTAGTTTCCAAACAATAATAATAGCTGAAAAATAGAAATAAAACAAATCAAGTACTCATTCAAGGGAGAAACGTGAAATGAAATTTTAAGGAGAAAAACTGTCCCACCCAAAAACGACTCAAACGAACCTTCCTCTCCCTTTCCCTCCCTTCCCTCCCTTGACCCCCTCTTTAAATACCACCCCTCCATTCTCTCCCTCTCCAACCAAACCAACCAAAACAATGAAGCTCATCAACAACCTCAAACCCAACTTCCTCAAATCCTCCAAAAAAAACAAAACCCAAAAAACCCACAAAACCCCCTCCATTAAATCCACCTCCTCCTCTTCTTCTTCCTCCTCCTCCTCCTCCGACCTCGAACGGGTCCTCCGCTGCCTCGGGCCCTACCCGCCATCCGACGACGAGATCCTTGCTCTCGGGTCTATGAGTATCGACGACATCCTCACCCTCGGATCGTCTGGTATTGAACCTGAAGCCGAACTGAGAGAAACTTTTCGGGTTTTTGATGTCGATGGAGACGGGAAGATATCGGCGGAGGAGCTGATGGGTTTGTTTGGGATGCTTGGGGAGGAGGAATGTGGGATTGAGGAGTGCAGGACGATGATTGAGAGGGTTGATTTTGATGGGGATGGGTTTGTTTGCTTTGAGGATTTTGTGAGGATGATGGGGATGCAGAGATGAGGTTGTGGTGTAATTATTAATGATGGAGATCTAGTGGTTTGTTGAGTTCCTCTTCCCAAGTTTGTTTGGTGATTCGAAAGTGCTTAGCGCATGCATGCTGAGATGACTGTTTGATCCATGACAGTTGAAATCTCCAAATGCTGTCTCGTATTGTTCATGTATGAATCAGAATGATCCGCTCGCATATCAGTTGTTCTAGTAGGATTTGTATTTCTGATGCGATCGGTTATGTTTTTTTTTCCCCCTGGAGGTGCATATCATATCAGAATATTTGAATCACGGGGGTTAAAGGGCAATATATGTTTTTATGCATGACTTAGAACAAGCCCCTTCTCATAAAAGAGGCGTTTTGTTAAGATTTGAGAATATATTGTTGTTTCTGAGAGATGGGTATGATAGAATTATTAGACAAAAGTTCACATTTTTGAGATTTCTTTTGACCAATGTCGCAGCAACAAGGCTGTGAGAAATATTCTAGATATTTTGGGTTGTTGTATGTGTATAATTGAATAGGAAGAAACCATGTGCTTTCACACAGAAAAACTTTTGAACCTCTAAATTTAAAACAAATGCGGAAAAATGTACCTAGGGATGGTGCGGTTCTGGCAAATGCAGTTGTAATTCATGTGTAGCTGCGTCATTGTAGATGCTGAGACTGTTATATGCAGTAATATATAATTGCTGTTTTTTTGGACTTATTCTGTAAATTGATTATTGCAAACTTTAAAAAAAATGCAGTCATAACTTTATTTCTTAGTCATCTTGAAAATCAGCTGAAATTGATCTCAAAATCGATTTGTTTCCATAATGTTGATGGTTAATATGATCACACAGTCAGTTGGATCTAGTCTAGGATCGGTTTGTTCATAATTGAAAAGGGTCCGTTTTCTTATCTGACTTTATGTCTAGTTCTTTGAGTTGGGTATCTGAAAGATCTGCACGAATAGAAAATACGTAAGAGGATGGGGTTTGATTCCTCCGTTGTACCTCCGACGATCAAGTTAGCTAATGGCTTAAGTGAGGGTAAAGGAAGAACTATGTGTTCTTATAATTGTGCAGCGTGTGTGTCAGAGGATCAGATTTGTGAACCTTCTCAATGTTAGAATAGTACATGTATTTATACTGAGGAGGCAAGGGCAAACTGGTCACTTCAACCGAGAACAGTAAGGCGGTGGTGAAGCATGGGCTAGCGGCCACGTCGGCACTTTCTTTACAGGTGTCGGCCAACGAGCGGTGGGAAGGTCGCTTCGGCATTAAATAGGGAAAAATTTGACGGCATGACAAAGCCCACGTGGTCCGATGAGTCATGAAGACCATTTGAGGTAGAGCCATGATGACGCATGTCCTACTTTAAATGTGGATGTTGACACGGTGTCATGAAATAGGGGCTCGAGACTAAAATAGTTCTTTAGTTTTGCCGAGAAGTAACGCCCTTTGAGCCAACTTTGTAACTGCCTTACAAGTGGTCGAGTGGGCTCGCAACGAGTTTTTCAATAGAAGGAGGTCGACTAACACTGCCTTTCATGTCGACTAACACCACCTTTCGTGTCGATACTGAGGGGCATCGTCTCGTCATGTCGGCTAAGTTGTCGGCCTTGATTGTCTCTAGTCTCTAAAGAAACTGTAGTGTAGTGTGTCAAAATAAACTTGTCAACTACTTAAAGTTTAAATTACATTTTGGCCAAAATGGAACACCATACCACATAATAAATCGTACGAGTAGATACTTTACTCTATTATGGAGCAGCCCTTTTCTGTCATGCGTCTTGCTTGCATCCACAATTTCCGTGGGTCTAGCATTTGATACGGTGAGCCTGTCGCATTTTGAGCCCCATTAAGCATCCAGAAGTCAAAGCGGATTCTTATAAAGTCCGGAATCAGAAATAAATCCATGGGCTGGGCCGCAGTTGCCAAGACTAATTAAATTAAACTGACCCTTGTTTTCAAACTCCCAGCAGGCAAAGACACGCATGCTCGTTCTTGGATAAATTTCAAACATAGTGACTAAGAAGTTATCCCCCTGTTTCCGGGTCGCGATCATTAAATTTTGAATTAATTTCACAAAACTCTCCCTGAACTTTGGAGGGTTTTGCACATAACCCCCGTGATTTTTTTTTTTAATCTCACGAACTCTCCTGAGCTACGGTGCTCTCACAGAACCCCATAAAATTTTCAACTTTCTCATTGGACCCCTATCTGTACTCAACTAATAATTAAAATCTCTTTGAGGGGGGAAAAACAGTGGTGAGAAAACCCCTTTTTTCTTGAAACGCTTTAAAAACTTGCGATTATTCATAAATTCCATGTTTGCCCTACTTTGAGTGTATTCCACTTTTGTAACAATAATAGGGCTTTATCACCAGATAAATGTTATAAAATTTAGAAAGTCACTCAGTAAATGAAAATACTTATTATATTTTTCAGATTTTTTTTTCTCATGTGAACTCCTTTAGAATATTGTGATTCTACAAAACCGCCTTCAAAGTTTCAATTTGTATAGAAGCCACCTTTAAAAGGGATTCCGAATGTAATTAACCACATTGAACTTTTTTTTAATTTGACTATAATTTCCGATCTATCTTTGAAGAACACGCGTCACATGCTTGACACATGTGTTTTTAAGAGTAATTTTGAAAATTTGAGTCAACATTTCATCAGAAACATGGTCAAGATGGTTGATTACTATCAGAATCCTTTGAAACAGGCTTATGTATAAACTGAATTTTGAGTGTGTTTTTTGTAAAATCACCCCTAATGTTGGGAAAATCACCCACTAAATCAGAGAATAGAGAGACAATCACAAACACAGTATTTACGTGGTTCGATCAAATTGATCTACGTCCATGGCAAAAGGGTATATCACTATATTTCTTTCTCAACATACAACACTCATACAAAATATTGAGAACTCATTAATTTGTTGTGTGGCTTTCACTCTCTTTCTCTTGGCCTGACTCTCACTCTTTTTGCCTCTGCTTCTTCTGATTTCTTTCTCTTCGTTAAGGGAAGAGGCCAGGGGTTTTATAACCTCCTCCCCTGTCAATCAGGCCACTAATCAAGCCAATCAATTCACCATTGTCAACAAAGTTTTCTCTCACTTTGTCAAAAACTGCGGCCACCAATCACGCCTCATGTTTGTTGCCAAACAAAAGAAAACAAAACTGGCCTCTTTATTTGACTAACAATCTCCACCTCGGTGAAGTTTCCCAAAAAACTGAGCCGACACCTGTTCGCGGTGAAAATTACCTTCATTGAATTCATTGTTATCTCAAGTAATTGCTTTTTGGTTACAAAAGCCACCAATCACGCCTCATGTTTGTTGCCAAACAAAAGAAAACAAAACTGGCCTCTTTATTTGACTAACACCTAATCTAAAGGTGGTTTACATAACCCCCCTCCCTAACATTTCTATACAGGAAAGGAGCATTTGACGGTTAGTGGTATCAAAATTCGAAGTTTTAAAGACTTCGAACTTTAGATGTTACAACCGCAAGCCCAAAAGCTACACGCTTCCCTCCTAAAACTCGGCCACCATGGCGATGTCTATCGCTGCAACCTCATCCTGAACTCCTACATCAATGCAGGCTCTTTACCCATTGCCCATCAATTCCTTTCTTCAATCCCTTCACCCAACGTCGTCTCCTTCAACACTCTCCTCTCTGGCCACTTCAAATACCGCCAACCTCACAATGCACTCACCCTGTTTGTCAAAATGCCTCAACGAGACTCCCGGTCTTATAATATCGCCATCTCTGGCCTCTGGAAAAAACAATTACATCGAGAAGCCATCGAACTTTTTATTCGCATGTTGCGCAGTCCGACTAGACCCGATAGATTCACTTACTCTTCGGTGATTTTGTGTTGCGGGTCTGGTATCGCGAGGCAAATGCATGCCCAAGTGATTAAAGTTTATGGAAATTCACGTGATGATATGTTTGTTGCGAATAATCTTGTGAAGATGTATTGTGAATCAGGAGCGGTTGAGGATGGGAGAAAAGTGTTTTCGGAGATGCCCGTTAGAGATTGTGCGTCATGGAACGTTATGATGTCTTGTTATGTTAAGATTGGAAAGGGGGAGTTTTGTCTGAGCTTGTTTATAGAGATGGTTAGAAATGGAGTTGGACTTGATGAGTTCACTTTGGCTATCGTTTTGAGTGAGTTTGCTAATTGCTTGCTAATTTTCGGAGGGTTGCAAGTGCATTGTTTGATTGTGAAAACAGGGTTTTGTTGGGATCAGTTCACTTGCAATGCATTGTTGAATTTATATTCCAAGTGTGGATACAATGTATTGGCAACTAAACTCTTTGAAGAGATGCCTGAAACTGATGCGGTTTCCTGGACTGCATTGATAATGGGGCTAGCATCGAGTGGCCTTGTGAATGATGCTTTCGACGCTTTCTATTGGATGCGGGTTTCACAAGTGAATCCTAATTCTTCTACTTTTGGTAGTCTGATTGGCTCTTGTGCTAGTGCAAATGCAATTGAAAGGGGCAAACAATATCATGCCCTAGCTATAAAGTATAATTTAGAACTTGAAACTGTTGTGGGAAGCGCAATTGTTGATATGTACTCAAAGTCTGGTGCGATGAACGAAGCAATGAAGCTCTTCATGAGCTTGCCGATAAGAGACCTAATTTCTTGGAATGGTATGATATGTGGGCTAGCTCATAATGGAGAAGCTACAAAGGCTTTAGATATTTTCGATGAGATGGTTAGATTGCATCAGGGTACTGTAACCCCGAACAATATCACCTTTGTTGGTGTTTTGACTGCATGTAGTCATGGTGGATTAGTTCATAGGGGTTTTTTGTACTTCAATGATATGGTACACAAATATCTTATTAAGCCTCAAGCTGAACATTATGCTTGTATTATTGATCTATTGGCTCGAGCTGGACAGTTAGAACAAGCAGAGACTCTTATTCGTTCTCTGCCTTTTGAACCTGATGTTGTTATGTTAAGTGCTTTGCTAGGAGCTTGTAGAAAACACGGGGATTTAGTTATGGCAAAGAGAATTGCACAACAGCTTGCTACAAGTGAGCCGAAGAGTTCTTCTAGTTATGTGATGCTTGCTAATATGTATTCTGATGAGGGGGAGTGGATTGATGCGATGGATGTTAGGGAAATGATGTGTGAGACTGTGGCTTCGAAAGTTGCAGCAAGTAGCTGGATTGAAACTAGAGGTAGCACACATTCTTTTGCTTCGGGTCATGCTCATCATACATAGCAGAAACTGACCTGTGAAGTTCTGCAGAGACTGCGGTTGGCAATGATTGATGAGAGGTATAAGTGTGGTAGTCAATAATTTTGGAGAGTAGATGATAGTAGACTTGGGATTTAAAATGTCTTTAGAAAGCAATGCAGACGAAGTCATGTCACATTGTTCAATATCATAATTTCAAGCCTGTTATGTGGCTGCCTCTGGAACAAATCCTTGATACAAGTTCGTTGGTAGCAATATGCAGAACATGGCAGGTTCAGCAGCTTGTTACTCCAAATGTCATTGAATTCTGATCATTCAGTGTCAGGAAAGAGTAACAGATCAACTGTGGGAATTACTAGCTGAAGCATAAGTAGTGTACAAAATGCGGAAGTTTTGGGATGCAAGAAGCTTGTTTCTTCTTGATAATCTATGAATGATAATTTTCTGCTGAATTCATGTCAAATCCAGGCCAAGCTGATGTGCAATCAGGGAGTTGATATCAACAAATTTGTTATTCGAGTATATTCAGCATAGATGAAGAGTTCTTGCTCTCTGTTAACTCCCCTTTCATAATACACAGCAAAAGACTTGCAGGAATCAGAATATCTCACATGTTTTCAGGGAAATAATAAAGGAGTTTATGAAGGTGGGAAATGTGAAAGTCATGTTAGCTTCATCAGATGTCTTGGCCGGTACAGAAGGCTGGCATGCATTGAAGGAAAAGGAGAAGGCCATCTCAAGGTACTGACTGTTTCACTTCTTATATCTTCCTGTTTGCTTATACTTTTAAATTAATGATCCTTTACATCCAGTAACAGATTATCAATTTTCAACAATAAAATTACTCAGCAGAAAACCTGCAGAAATCTGAGTGTCGCACATGTTTTTAGGGAAATAATGAAGCTCTTGAAGAAGGTGGAAAATGTGGCAACCATCTCAAGGTTCTATTTCTTTCTACTTGTTTTATCATGTTGTTAGCTTGTACTGAAGACAAGGTTTGAAGTAATCACATGGAGGAAACAAATTATTAATTTTCCAACAAGAATTTATTTAGGTTTGGAAATTATTTTCCAAAATTTCATGTGTCTACATGTGCTACCTTTGACTTTTAACACTACATATTAGTTAGAAAGCAGTGAATTTTGCATCGAGAATATCATTATATGAGAAATAAAAGAATCATAAAGAAGTCGTAAAGCTCTTGCATGTGACCTCGAGGATTGATGCCTACTTGTTTCAGTGATTTTTTGTATGATATGCAGGACACTTTCCCAATCCAAAAGTTAGTCTGTTTAGAACCAGAAGAATTTATGCCCACAGCTTAGGACCTGAATATAGCCGATCCATTATTGTTCAATTTTGGCTGACTTAACTGACTCTTTTTAATGTTAGTCTTTAGTCATCCGAGAAACTGCATGTACACAAAATGTCGTGTTCCAATAAAAAACTTAAGGTACAGGAGTTTTGCTTAACATTCAACATTTTGTTACTCTAGAATATTGACAGCTGAGCACAACCATTTTTATTTATTTCTTACTGGAAACACACTCCTCAGTAATTCCTTACTGTTGCTACGAGAAAATCTGCGAATAAACAATCATAGCTTTAATGAATCTGAATGGGGATTTTGTGGAAGTATTCTTAAGTATCACAATCCCTTTATTACAGAAAGATATTGTCAGTCGCACAATATATCATGTTGTAAAGTTGGCTATGCGTTGTTTGTTATATACCTTCTCTATGTTCTTATACTGACTTTGCATCTATAAGGCATTTGTTGTATTCTTATTAATTTGCCATATTTTTCTAGCAGGACATCCTCTAAGACTCTTCATTTGCCTTTCACAGTTGTGTCTGTTTGGGTGGAAAGTTGATATTTCCATTGTGCAACTTATTACAGCTTTAGTCGTTACAATAAATTTAAAAGTCTGATTTTTTTATAAGATTTCCCCACAATAAAACAAAGAAAATTACAACTCTTTTCAAACAAACGCAACAGATATTTATCTACCGCTGCTTGCGTGGGATCTTTGCCTATGCCGGGGACGTTAATATCCACGGACTACCAAGCGATCAGATCAATCCGGAGTTTCATTGATTCGCGAAGAAATCAAGAAACCGAAGTAATTATCTCGGTAACAGCGAGATAACCACTCTTTTCGAGATCGCAGCTAGGTACGATCTCAAGGGAAGGAACCGGGCTATGGATCTGACGAACTCTCCTTCTTTATGACGAAGAACTCGGTCTGATCTCCTCCTCCTCTCTGAAATTTGTGCTCCTCGGTCTCTGATTTAGCAGGGCTTCGTCAAGGCTCGAGAATTTTAGATTTGTACAAATGAAGGCCCTAGGGTTGTATTTATAGGCTTTAGGAACCCTATTTTCGGATAAGAACAAAAGATTTAATCTTATCCTCAGTTGTAACCACTTTATCACGTTCTTGGATGATATTAGATCAGTTAAAACAAATTCAGGTGGTTAACGGTCGAAAAATTGGTTCAAAACAGCTCAAACTGCTTTTTGGAGCCTGCGAACACCCGCGGTGTCTCGGCCATGGCCGAGACACTCGCGGTATCTCCGCTAAGGCCTGTGGCATTGTTTCGTGCGTCCCGTCCGTTTCCGTCGTATCTTCGTCGTCCGAACTCGGAATTACGCGATTCAAAGTTCGTATGAAAGCCGACGAGGAGATCTACAGGCTCCCATAGTTAAATCATACATGGAGTAAACGGGATACGAGAGGCGCTTCGTTTTTTCGTAAGTGAAGCGTAGCTCCCGATCAGTTCGTATCTTCGTTATTCTGCAGTTCCTTTGCTTCACACGGTTCGTCGACTTACTTCATGCGTTTATCGACGTCAATTAAGCTTCTGTGACCCGGATAGTGACGTTCATCGTCTTCTCTCTATCTCGAGCCGCGTGCGGGAATCCGTGGGCAATTTTTGACGCCTACAGTGTCGAAGCACGAAATCATCAAGAAAGTTAACATAAGAAGAGGCGAACCATCATTTCATACATGGGCCTGTGGTGTCGATTACATCGAGTTTAAGCTGGCACAAGAATTATCACACTCTTGAGGAAGTGATGATGCACTATGCAAGCATTATGATGTTGGAAGTCATAACTGGCAACTCCTCCAGCAACCATAAGTTTTTGATTGATGAAGAATGCATAAAGTGCATAACTGTAGCTTCCTTAAAACATCATCATAAGGAGTCCAATATGTACCATCACTCATTTTCTTTGCTATGATAGCTGAATGCACTTCTCTTTGAGGCTCCATCAAAGTGCAAGTAGTTCAAGCTAGTTCCTTAAAAGTGGAAGAATGTATTCCCTGAGAGCGTCTCACGAATATACCAAGACAAACATGCTGATCTTAATACAGTATTCTTGGCACAACTTCCTGGCAAACATTGCTGGCTCGACACGGTTAGTTGGTTGGTTATTCAAATTATGAACAAGGAATGAACAAGGAAAGTGCCACACGATGATTTAAATGATTAAATGATTTAAAGGACTAATGAGAACACTTTTCCTACAATTTTCTGTTCTTGCTTGGTTGCTATAACTTAGTCCTTCTATTTTTTGTTCGATTCCTGATTGCGCTTCCATGGGCTTATCGGATGGAGATGTTTCTGGCTTGTGTATTGTTGGGATTTAGCATTGTATTTCAGCCTAGAAGATGAAGGAAGCATCAGGAGCAGAAAAAATGGAGCTGGGGAGAAATTTGGCAGGAGGTTGACTGGTCGGACCACCCGCCCAATTTACCACCAGTATGCCGCCTGCTATACAAGAAAAGACGTGTTTTCGAGGTTGACGATTGCCCTGACTTATGCATAAATTGAACTGATTCGGTGGTTAGCTAACACTTACATTTCATGTACTGATATTTGTTATGCATAAATTGAACTGACGCGGTAGTTAGCCGACGCTTATATTGTCTGTATGGACTTCTGTTAATTTTATATATTGATTGTACTGATGTAAAATTGACGACACGTTTCGCATTCTTCTTTCTCCATGTATGATTCTAGACCTCTGTAGGATTTTTCACCTTATTTGGGAAGGCTATTCAATCTCAATCACTGGTTTATTCATGCTGGACAAAGAGAGATCTGTCTACAGCCTAAATAATATTCCTCTCCTTGCTACAATAATCACAAGCCCATCTAAAGCCAGTCTAGTTAAGGAAAGAGAACAGAAGTTTAAGAGGCAAGCTCAGACCTCAAATAGCGCGGTCCTGTATGTCGCCCGTAAAAGCTCAAACTAAAGATGTTTAGAGTAGAAAACATGTCCCTCCATGGCTCCATGTAGAGGTCCCTCTTTGTGCCTGGCTTCCTTTGATACTGTGCTAAAAGACACTACCACTGCAAAAACCGTTGTGATGAGGGTCGAGGTATAAAAAATGTAATATGAGGATGGAAGCGTACACTATAACATGTGTTTGTTTAGAGTAAAAGATGGAAAAGGATGAGAAGCTACTTAATCAATATGCTATTCTGAAGAAATAATAGAGATAGTAGACAATTTTATGAATTATGAGTTTTAGCTTTCGTATAGGGCAATCTCGGGATTTCAAGAAAGGTTCACTTACAATCCCTCCCCCTCCTAATCCATCCACTTTAGGAAGGTTAAGAAAGCAGGTAAATTTTCTATTTTTTAATATTCCCCTCCCCCATCTAAGGGTGTCCAAAAAACTTGAGACCCGAACCGACTGGGCCGGGCCGGGCCAATACCCCAATCGACCCTGGGAAAGGACCGAAAATCTGGGCCTACCTAGGTTGCTTGTATGGGTACTTCCGTTGGTGCCCCTCCCGAACTCAGTCCAGCTTGGAACATGGTGGCACCTGGCCACAAACCTTAGGCCGAGTCAAGGCTACCCGGACTGGGTCTAGACTATCTATACCTGGCATGCATTAGGGAACTGTTGAGGCTCCCTAACAGCTAGGTTACTAGCCATTGAGGTCGGACTTGGGCCTAAAAGCCTGGTCCGCCCCGAACCCAACCACCACAACGGCTAGTAAACTAGCGTTATGGCCGGGTGATCCGGCTTGGGGTCAAAAATGGCCAATAACAGCTATTTTTAGATCAAAGGACCAAAATACCCTTAAATGTAAAAAAAGGGCCGAATATTGAAGATATCTTGGTCATTTGACTAGAGGATTGCCCCTATAAAGAGAGGGGTTTTGATTTGGTTTCTCATCCAAAAATCATCCTCTTCTCTCTAATACTATCTTATATTCTCAGATACTCTCTCCTAAATCTCTAGTTCTCTCAATTCCAATGGCCTACTCTTTGAATGTGATATCTTCGAAGATGAAAATGCAGCTCCTTTACTTCACAAAATGAGTCCTCCTATTATTGAGCTAGAACCTGAGTTGAAAATCCAACACCTCCAACTTCTAAAGGGTCGAGATCAGAAGTGTGGTCTTTCTTTGAGATGATTGAACTTATCAAAGATAAGAACGGAAATACTCTCACCTAAATGGCGAAATGTTGGCTGTGTGTGAAAGTCTTGGAAGCTCATTATAAGAGCGGGACTAACCACCTCAAACAACATTTGCAAATCCATCGTAGAGGGCAAGGAACGTCTTAAGTTGACATCTGTCAATCTCTTTTCTCTCAATCATCTTCCTCAAGTGGCCTCGGTACATGGAGCTATGACACAACTAGAGCTGGGAAATGCATCATTCGGCTTGTTGTTCTTAAACATATTTCTTTTAAAATATTAGAAGATGACGATTTTGAATATATGATTAAAGAAAGTTCGTGACCCATTTTAAAAAAAATTCTCATCAAACTTGTCAACGTGATATTATGAAATATTATCGAGAGGAAAAAAATTTAATTTCTTATTTTAAAAACTTGAATAGTAGATTATCTCTAATTTATGATATTTGGACATCTAAAACACTAACTAGTTATTTATGTATCACGACACATTGGATTGATGAAACTTGGTAAATATTTTAAAGAGTAATTTCTTTTATTTTATTTGAAGAATTGCACAATGGTAAAAATTCTACAAATTTAATAACGGAAGAACTTGCAAAATTAAAATGAAGAAATATTTACTCTTTCATTGGATAATGCAAGCAATAATAATGTTTTAGTAGATTATATCAAATCCTCTTTGCTATTGCATGTCATGATGAATTTTTTTCATATTAAATACATGTGTCATATTTTGAATTCAATTATGAAAAATGCATTTAGTGAAATTAAAACAATGATATAAAAAGTTAGACTATAGCTGTTCGCGGTGAAAATTGCCTTCATTGAATTCATTGTTATCTTGAATAACTGTTTTTCGGTTACAAAAGATCCGGTCTTTTTTTAGATCCGGTTACAACGAAATCAAAGAAAAAGAAAAAAAATTACAACTTTCCTTTTACAACTTTCCTTTAGAACAAATCGCAAGATCCTGTTTTGCGGTCTCTTGCTTGTGTGGGTTCTTTGCCGACGCCGGGGTTTATCCGTGGACCACCGCGCGATCTAGATCCGGTCGGATCTACACGATTCGACGGGTATTATTTCGCGAAGGAAATAATAGCCGAGGGGGATTAGTTCACCAAGGAAATAATCGCCCTTAATTCTCGGGATCAAAGACTGTGCCCGCGCACGGTCTTGGCCGAGCCACCCACGGGTGGCTCGGCTTTGGCTGAGCCCCCCTTAGGCGTTGGGTTTTGTCGTTTTTCGGTTGACTTAGACTCTGATTTCGCAGTAAACCCGATTCCTGTTTTGGCAGTAAATCCACTTCTGAGTTCGAGTCCGAAACCGATCTTGATTCGGTCGTGATTCATCCGAGTCCGCTCTTGTTTGGATGACTCGTTGACTCCCCGAACCCTTGGCTTGATTCCACACGTGAATGGATGTATTCCGTTGCTTGCGTGCGATTCGTCAACCTCGTCGCTTCATTGGTTCGTCGGTTTGTGCCGAGCTATGCTAAGGGA